TCTATTTTTTTACATTTTCAAGCCTTAAATATTAAACATACAAATTATACGAACTTTTAAATTTGAACTTGATTAAAACTGGTGTACTTAACCATGAATAACGGTGTAATATACTTCAATCAGTTTAAATTTTCACCAAATGTTATTATACCCAATAACCATAATATTCCACACATAACATTTTCAAAATAAATAAATTTACTTAAATTCTCTATTAAGTATTTAAGTGGTTAGCACAGTATATGCTTCATTCTCATCACAATGTAATTTTGGGCCATAATTTAAAATGTATATCTTATCACCTTTCTTACTTGTACACTTTTCCCACTACTATTATTCAACTGAAAAATACATAAACTTAAAAACACATATTTTGTAATTACTAGGTAATAAGGTGATTAAAAAGCGGGTAAGTGGGTGACGGTTTGTTTTACAGTAGGTTATAAGTGGGTCACTGTAGTAACTAGTAATGGATGATTTTAAATTTAAATTCAATGATAGAATAGCATAGTATATGAAAAACGATTCTGAGTGGGGATGGTTTATCAGCCTAGAACATTTTATATTATGTATTGTTGTTATTACCTACTTCTGTAGCCAGTAGACTGAATTCATATTATTTGCATATTATCATAACTGTATATAATAATATACCCTAAAAGTTTGAAGTACCCATGATTAATATTTTTAAATTGCAACAATGTATAAACTATTTCATATAACTAAACTTTTTTTCCTCGGTTATTTAATGTGTAATTTTAACTTAAAATAACTGAACAAAAAAACAGTGTTCATGTATTTTTTTTAGATATTTTGGTTATAGAATGGAACTTTCTTTATTTAAATTTTTAATCCTTAGGAATGAAAGTTGAACGTTTTAAACATTTTTAACAACTAAATAATTTAAGAATTTTGTCGAATTTTGAAATTTAAAGACTTATAAAAAATAAATAGTGCCTATATATTTTTAATATTTTTCAACTGTTATTGTAAGAACTATAATTATATGTTAAAGCTTTTTAAACCAACGAATAATATTTTATTGAAATTTATAGAAAAAAAAAAAAATTAAAAATGTACATAAACGGTTCAAAACTAGACAAAATCATTTGAAAATGTTTTCAAGTATAGAAAATGATAAAATAAACATTATATGATGGAAAATGCATGTATCTATGGTTATTTGTTTTTGAATTACAGCAAAATAAGAAAATCTCTCTACGAGAAATGTAGTGAATATCCAATGTTTTAAAAGTGGTGACTAAGAACTGGAGGGATACAGAGAGACGGTGCACCTTTATTACTTTTTTTTATAGCGTAGACAAAGTTACGAAGGAATCTTATATTCTTCTTTAAAATTTTGGATTTAAAAAGAATAATTTTTACGAATTTCTAACTCAAAATAATTTGCAAAAATGTTCGTGTTTTTTTACGTATTTTTCAAAATTCTGACTCTCATAAAAAAAATTTTGGGGATTTACACTCAATTTTTTTTTTTTTTTTTTTATCTCCACTAACAACAACTTACGAAGAACCTTGTATTACATTATCAAGTTTTTTGAACGAGCAAAATTTTTTATATTGACATTAATTTTAAAAGAAACTAATAAAAATCGAAAATTGTATATGGCTTTAAATAGTTAAACATACATCAAAATATTCGTTCCTATGAATTTTTAATATTTTTCAACTGCTTGGGGAAATAGCCTCTCACGGGTCTGTGTTAAATAACTTTGCACTCGGAGCGCAGTTTTAAAACTATTATTGAGCTCTTCTACTTAATAATTCCCAATTCGAACACTCAGTGCCGGATTTAACCATTGTGCAGCTTTAAGCACTAAATAATTTGCCGCCTTTTAATATAAATATTTTTCTAGTCTAAAAAATGTTATTAAAGCATACAATTATAGTTTTTTTTAATTTTTTACTTAAAATTTTGATGATGAACAATAAAAACATACAACTCTACGATTATGAAATTGCATGGAAAACATAAAATATAAATATTACCACAATCCCGTTGGCCTAAAAACATTTTATAATTAGTTTCATTTTATTTTAGTTCTAGTTCCAGTAGTAAAAATGTAATATTAAAAATTATTTTCCGCCCTAAGCACTAGCTTATAGTGTTTACTGGGAAATACGGCACTGCGAACACTGTATGACGTATGTAGGAACTAGGAACTTACACATCTTATGTTTACATTGTGTTTGTGTAGGAACTAACATACGTTGGTATATATCTTTTTTACCTTGCTGAAACTTATATATGTATTTTGTTTACCTGACATTTCTCGTGTAGAGACTTTCATTCGCCTAGCCGGTATTATTATTTAGATTTAAATTAATTCGATAACAGCAGTGCCATCTACTGGATCATTACCAAATAGTTGTGACAAAATGTTTTGAATTACCAATTAACTTTAATCCACACAACCAATACAATGTTTAAATATAATATATTTAAATAAAGTATATATTACCTATATAAACAACTATTAAAATTATAGCAAAATGCTCGAAAAACGACCAATAAAAGTATAGTTCACTGATGTAGGTATGAAACTGATTTTGCACTTGAAAGTGCACTGGCGTGGACTTTCATAGAAATAATGCAATTCGGATTAAAATCCGCCTTACTTATTAGTGGGTATTTAAAGTTTAGTTGAATGGCCATTCATAGAGTAAAGACTCTTAGGTGTCGTTTGACTAAAGGTACTAGTGGTACTATAACTACTAGTAGATTGTAAAGTGTAGACTAGTGTAAAATAAATAGCTGAGCGACACTCCTGCATTGGTACCTATGACTTATGTCAATTATGCACTATACTTATACTAATATTATTCTGTTTATAGAAGTATAAATATTTTGTCAGTTGTAAAATGTATTAAAATAACATATTTATCCGGTAACATTTCTGAAAACAATTCAGTCTCTTTTAAGCCATAAAAGCATCCATATTTGTTACTTATTGTTCTAATTACCTAGTAACAGATTGTAAATTGTATTGTAAAAAAGAAGTAATAAATATATTTTTTAGATTTTTTGGATACATTATGATCTACTATGTGGAATCTAAATTTTCAATCCTTAGCTAGACAAATTGACAAAGTGAAGGTTTAATACGTTTTTAACTACAAAATATTAACTTCAAAGGCTTATAAAAAAAGCTTGCCTATTTATGTATTTATTATTACCTATTTCAAACAGGCTTAAAGCCAAATACATTTTTTTAAATATGTGTATAATAATAGCTGATATTAAATATTATAAATTATAATGAGTAACAGTAAAAATCATAAAGAAAACAGTAGAAAAATAATAATATAATAATTTGAGTATATTAGAAACATAAATGTGACTACTGATAATATCCATTAATAATATAAAAACAAAAAGACTCAATTAGTGAAAATTATAAAAAAATCTATTTGGGTATCATTAGCGAGTATCATTAGGATCTATTTAAAGGTGCATTTATTATATAGTTTGTTCTACGCAAGAGATTGAGAAAAGTATATGTATTCCTAGTATGTCGACTGTCGTTGAGGCACAAAAAAAGGATAACACTAAGCAGTTCTGGACAATCTATGTATATGTATTTTTAATATTTTTGAACTGATTTTCAAACAATGTGAGAGAAGCTTTGTATTAATTTTCAAGCTTTTTGACCCAACAAATTCAATTTTATTAAAATTTAGATAAAAAAAACTAAAAACAATGATCGTTGAAAATATCAGTAAACACCTCAAAAATAGTCAAAATATTTCGAAAATGTTATCATTTAGGAATGTAAAATGCTAATATAAATATTTGGTGAAATTAGTTTTTGAAGTAGGTAATTCAAAAAAATAAAATCGATTTTTCCAAAAATATGATACTACTTATACTTACTAGTATACTATGATGAGAAGCTATTCCAGCCAGAAATAAATTAGAATTGCAAGTCATTTTGTGTACCTAATACCTAACTAGAGCGGCAATTTCTAAATGTATTCCCGATGGCATACATCAGCGCGCCGCCCAACATAATATTGTCTCAGATCATAATATAACTATATAAGACGTAGGTTGCCAGGTACCTTCTAAATATAACTAACTAATATCATCTGTGCCCAGTGGTACCTATTGGTTTCGCTATTTTATTCACAGCACAAATTTCTATAGTATGGAAGTCTGTGGTTCCCAGTGATATAAATTAATCTGTGATTTGTTATTGATTAAATTGATAAAATACAAAATCCCTCTAAAACCCATCTGGACCTCCCGTAGGTATCTCCAGCTCTGGGGTAGTGCAAAAAAATCAAATATACAAAAAATTCAAACTTTCCAAAAAATTTCCTTAAGAAAAATAACAAATGCTCCTTTTGTTTCCAATCTTACTCTCCATAATGACTTATAAATAGCAACAGTACTTAATGAAGCAAAATGTTTCTGTAAAAGATTTCACACGAAATTACCTCTCCATTCTAATCATCTTATAAAACAATTATCTACCTTATCCATTTCAGGGAATCCCCCGCGGCGGCTTAAACGAAGATGGTGTCGTGACTTTTTAACTGAAACTTAAATAGCTCAGCTTAGTGAGTTAGAGGAAAAAATAAAAAATAAAATAAAAACTCAAAATAGGTAGTGTCATTAATGGGCGGCTTCTTCCTTCAAAAATTCAATAATTCAAATGTAAATACCCTTCATCACATTTGCTTAATATTCCTTGTAAGAATAGATTGTAAATTTCTTATGAAAAAAAAATGATTTGTTATTGTGTTTATCTCATAGAGTAACTTAGGGCCGATTTCACCAACACAGTTAATCACGATTAAAGTTAACCGCGGAGTTAATCGGCCGAATTTGGCCGGTTAAATATCTGTTATCAACCGATTAAGTGTTAACCGTGATTAACTGTGTTGGTGAAATCGGCCCGTATATTTATACGCATGATTCATTTGAAATGTTTGAATACATCAGAGATTTTCGTTGCATGCGATTTCTGGAATAAATTAAGAAAAATGATAATTGATAAGCAAATAAATTAATGTGATAAGAGATAACGATTGTTCAGTTTGTTGTTCTTGTTGCTTTTTGTCAGGAAACTCGGGATGTTTTGATGAATTCGATTCGATTTATACTAAATTAGAGTGTAATTTGAAGTAGTTAAAAATGGATGTTGATGAACATTATACCCGTCGTTATCCGTACAGTGTGGTTTGGACTCCTATACCATTTATAAGGTAAGGTTTCTTTTGAACTGATGATTTTAACTTGAATGCCATAGGGGATAGATCAATACTGCATATTTATTTTAATGATTCTACATTATTAGGGTACAGATTTGAAGGAAATATAATTTATAAAAATCGTTGAAAATAAAAAAAAGGCCAAAAATAGCATTAAAAAATTTCAGTTGATTTAACTAGCTTCTGTTGAAAAAAAAATAATCTATAGATAGGTAAAGTATGGGTAGTTTTTGAAATGATAAATTAACTTGCTGTCACAAATACTTAATCAATATCACCAATAATCAATCACATTAAAACTACTTTTAAATATAACATCGATAAATTTGTTGTCTTTTTGTCAACTTTCTTGTCGATTTGTTCCATTGATATGTATAGAAAACTATCGATACTAACTATTGATAATCAAACATGTATAAATTAAAAAAGATAAAAAAGCAAAATAAAACATTTATAGGTGAAAAAGTCTGTTGAAAGAAAATGTTTGTTCATTATCTTAGAAATTAAATGAAACACATTTTAATTTAAAAATTATTTTTCTATTGTCATAAAAAAAAAAAAAATGGTATTTGCCCTCAAATCCGAACCCTATTCATCATGTACAATATTTGAATACATTCAAATAAAAGATTTACTATTCATTTTTACAAAAGTATACATCTTGTGTATTAAATTTTAGGTGCTCTTTAATACGATAACAACTGTACAACTTATGAGGTCATATTACTATTTTAAATACTATAACCTATATTGTTAATTATTAAATAGTTTTTTAACATATTATAACTGACAACCATGATGCAGAGAACATCTTCTTTCCATGACTACGTCATGCTGACAATCATAAATATGCCACTATTATGATAATGATTACGAGTTATGATGTGGTCAAGTGTGCAGAACAAGAATATATTTTTTTAAGTACCTAAGTTAATTAAATTATAAAACAAGAATTTCCCAATACAAACTGAAAATATCAACACAAAATACCTAAAAAGTAGAAAAAAACGATGTTTTATATTTTATAATTAAATTTAATTGACTATAAAACATTTTTATTAATGAAAGAGAAAATGTTAGAATAATTGTTTAGGTGGATTTTGTATAGTTTGCTTACACAATCACTGTTAAAAATTTTAGTAGATTGATTAATAAAACCTATTACTTGTTGATGCTGCAACAATTTTTAATAGGAATGTTATTTGTACAATTTGTAGTTGGTTATTTCCATTGATTGGTCATATGGGAATCACTACATCCACTGGGGTAATACGAGATTTTTCTGGATCATTTTATGTTGCTGAAGATGATATGGCCTTTGGATATCCCACTAAGTACTGGCAGTTGGATATCAGAACTATAATTGGTGGTTCTAAAGCATGGGATAAAGCTGTTAATGAAGCATCAATTGAATATTTCAATAGAATGGTAATATTAATAATATGTTGATATAGCTTTAATGTTAAGTTATTTTTTTATTCATAGTATATTTTGTTAAAATAAATTGGTGCTTGGCACATGATTAGATCAAAGTATTTGTTTGCAATAAAAATGAACCAAATATGTGCTAAAAGTTATAAATATACATACATACATGTTCTACATTTTTTTAAATATGTGTGAAAAAATTAGTAAAAAAAAACATCTATTTCCTGAATATTTAATTCAAAATTATTGCTACCAAAAATACTTTTCTTTTAAATATCTGTGGTTTATATGTAGTTTTAATCTATATAGAAAAAAAAATAGGAATCAATTAATATTAAAAATGTATTCTAAAAGGAATTTACATAGGTCAGGTATAAGTATACCTATCAATTTATTTTGATTCTAATCAAAAATAATAAAAATGTGAGATTAATAAAATTACTAAAATTATTTCAGAAATATTTAAAAAAAACATTGAAAAATATGAAATAATTATGATTTTGAATGCTCTTAAAATCAAATGGGTAAATATCTAAATATGTAATATATGTACCTAAACAGTTTCATTGGTAGTTCAAATTGTTGTACAAATTCTATGCTCACTTTGCATGTTATGATACAACCAACCGGAATAAAATATATACAAATCTGCACTCTCTACAAAAATATTGATATTTTAAATGTTTACTATGTTTTATTATTTATAAATTGAAAGTTCAAATTAACAATGATTGTTTATTTTAGCACAACCTTCTATGTGATAACTGCCATTCCCATGTTGGCATGGCATTATCATTAATGAATTACAGTAAAAGCAAAAATTGGAATATGGTTAAATTAGCTTTATACACTTTCATTTTTGGAAAATATGTGAGGTAAAATCATTACAATTAATTATTTATATATACTATTTATAAGAAAGATAATAATTTAAGTAATTTATAATTCTAGTTGCAGTGCATGGCTTAAAACATGGGGCCCATTTATCATTTTTGTGTTTGTATGTTTTGGACTTTATTCATATGGAAAATATTTTTAATAAAGTAACTCTGCGAGGTAACTTTATACATTTTTAAAAGAGGTCATTAAATTATGAAATTGTATTAAAAAGATCTCGTAATTAATGTTATTACATTTTTCAATGTATATTTTATATTTTATACAACATGTAACAAAATAATACCTTTAAATATATTTTCTACTTTTTTAAATACAAAAACAATTATTTTAAGAATTCATCATTATTTTATATAATCAATTGATAAAATGTGTAATCTATTTTTCTGTATTTAATATTTATATAATCACTGTTTTCTTTTAACAAGCTATTTTATGTGTTTTTTCCGAAATTGTAACATAACCTATTAGATCAATGACATCATCTCTTTATATATATTATATATAATATGTATATATATTTCTTATTGTTATTGTTAAAATTATTTATCTGTCAAATCAAATGTACCTTGTGTCTTATTTTTTCATAAATTTATTTTGTATATTAGTGCTACAAGTTTTTAATTATATTGAAATTAATGCATGTAAATGTGTTACACACTTAAGTCAATACAGTATGAGCCTTGCACACCAAAAGCCCACGAATCAGTTGTTTTAAGGGGTCCAATATTAAAATATAAAGGCCCCAAGTATTCTCAAAACAGCCTTGGGCCTTATACAGAAAAATTGTGCCTGCAAATTGCATACAGTTTAATTATCATTTCTATAAATACTTTTCAGGGTTCCTTTTTCCAATATAGATCAGGAAGACGCCAAGCAAATAAAAAATTTATGAGATCCTAAAAAAATGGTTGGGCCATGGCCAGGCCACACTGAGCCAATATATTAAAAAGTAACTACTTACAATCACCATTTTTCTACCCAGTAATGTGTTTATACAAATATATCCAAAGGCTTTGGGTTTAGTTTACTAGGTTATTGATTATAAATTGAACTTTTGACTAAATGTACACTTAGTTATGTAAATAGCAACTATTTATAAAAAAAAAATACAAATATTTATAACAGAACAATTGATAATTACTACCAATTGAATGTGCAACATTATATTGAAATACATTTTTTATACATTATCCACAATGTGTTTATTTCCAATTTATTTTTGTTAAAAATTGTAAGCTTAAATTTTAGTATTCTACTATAACATTGGAACGTTTCTACTTTACCAGCCACCATTTTTTTTTGTTTTCACATAATATGTAGCTTAGCATAACACAAACGGTGGTGAAGTCAGAATTTGGTGGTCGGTCTTAGTATCAAAGTTATAGTATTGTCGTATAGGCTTGGCCCACATAACAAATATATTTGGTTTTTCGATTCCCAAACCGTCAAACAAGTGGCTGTGGTTAGGCTTATTTAAATTCTCTTTTTGGTGAGCTGTGATTAGCACTATAGTTGAATTGTTGCACAGTGGAAATATTATTATGATTTCAATACATTATACAGAGATTGCCTATACCCTATTCCAGAGGTATTCAAACTTTTTCATCCCACGACTCATTTGAGTCTTCACAAAATATTGAAAGCTCCCAAATTATAAATGACAAAAAAATCAATGTTTATATGAATGTAATTTATATTTTATAATTTATTTACCATATTACATGTATAAAAAAAATTAAAGCTATATTTAGCAAATGATTATGGTAGACAATTCAATGTTTCCCAACCGGTGTGCCTCAATGATAATAATAAAAGTTTTTCTTATTGGTTTTCAATTATAGAACGTGGCTCTCTTTGACAACTCATCGAAGCCCCTGGTAGCCATGACGCATCTTTGTTCTATTTGGTTTAAGAGCACAACAGTTTGCTTATATGCTACTGACTGCTGTACACTGTCGGACCTACCTGATTGATTGTTTAGAAATAATTGTACGTTGCCATCATACATTCAGAAACAACTGTTACCAACTGTACGCTGTAGTCTTAAAATGATCAAATCACAAAAGTTTTCCAAACTAACCAAATTTTGGCAGTATGATTCAATTTCAAATTGCTATTGCAATTTTTATTATGATTAATATTTCATTCACACTAAATGCCTCCTAATAGTTTGATATTAATTCATAGTTAAACGGCAAATGCAATACAATTATTTTTTATTACTATTTATTTTAGGTTTAATGTATAACCGACATTCAGCTTTTGATAATATAATAATCACAAAGGTACACAAATATATTCATATAAAAAGATAAATGTAATAAGCTAAAAATTAATTATGGATTATTTGATAACTACTAAAACTACAAATTACAATAATTAAGTATTAATACAAGAAAAGCTATAAATGGGACTCATCCAATCCTTAATAGACTATTTTAATAACTATATCAAATTATTCTTGTGAACTGTAGAGAAATGACAACAATAAATATAAACTAATAAATATCATTTTTTTAAAGTTTGATTTGGGTTTATTCCATACTAATATGAATGTTTTTATATACTTCAAATTCCTAAAATTTAAAAGTCCAAAATTTATAGATCCTGTTTACTCATAAGTCATAAGTCATAAATACCTACTTACTAGTGTCATTATATAACTTGAATAAGAAAAAAAATTATAGAGAGAATGTTAAAAAAAAAACAAATTATTTTGATAGTAATTTATTTAATTAAAAACTATTTTTTTTTGTTTTAACAAGAGTTACCGACTTTGCCTAAGTATGAAATGTTAATAAAAATAAATACTAAAGTGTGAATATTTATTGTACAATGTTCGTTTAAATTAACAAATATTTTTTTCTAAAAAATACATATTGATATAATATAATATTACAATTATTTTATTTAAGATAGAGATGTACTGAACATAATTAATTTTGTTATTTCGAAAACTATAATTAGTGAGTTTTAATATAATCAACCTAAAGAATATGTACAAAACATTAATATAAAAATAAAGAAATGGTTATTAATGTGACTATAATATTTTTAAACTCATTAATTTAGGGCTCGGAAGTTGATGACCGTAAAACCATTAAAAATGACCTCAAAATGGGCACGCAAAGAGAACTAGTTGACATTTTGAAAAAAAATTTAAAAATAAACAAAATATTAAAATGTATATTCATTACTTATAAAAAGATGGCAACAATAACTATAATCAAAGATATAAAATCGGATACTAATTTAGGAATTTCAAAGGCTGGGATCTGTAAATGGGAAATGATAAGATAAGCAAAGCTATTGGGTTTATTATTAAAGGTTAGTTCTTAAATATTATTTGATAAGGAATGAGATTTAATTTAATATTGGGTTTTTAATAAACTCGTTATTTTTTCTTTCGACTAACTAGTGGTAAATGATTAAAAATTATTTAAAAAGTAAAAAAAAAGACAAAAATGCAAAATATTAGTTTTTCAGTTTTACAAGGTATCAAAACACATTTTTAGCAAGTTAAAGCATGATCTAAAAAGTTCCAAAGAAATACGTAAAATGCATCAACTTCCGAGCCTTACTCATTAATCATTATTTATATAGAATAATACATTATATCCATTATATAGACTATCCAATTAAATATTAAATGTAAAACAGGGGCCGCCAACCTTTAAAAAGTAGTCACATTACATTTTTAAAGCATCTGGTGACCAATTATATCATTACATGCAGCATAATAATATTGTTCTTTCATTATTTCTCCAATGGAAAATTGTAAGTTTTTCTTCGCTAATAAAATACCTTACTTTGTATAATATAAAGCATAAAGGTGTGTTAAGATTACGCAGGTGATCATATACAGATATTACTATATTAGAATAATTAATTTATAATAAGATCGACTGGTTGGCGACTCCTGAGGTAAAATATACCAATGATTAAATCGGTGGGAAGTTTTTACTTTTATTATTATTTTCTAATATTAAATATTTAATTAATATATTTGAGTGAATTTTTATTCTAAGCCGATGATATAACAATCAAATGTTGGTCATGTCTAGTGAAAAATGTTAAAACAAATGCAATGAAACCAACGATTATCACTACTATTCAACAATACAGTATTATTATCGTTTTTATGTTCATTGCTCGCCATTTTGGAATGCTACAAAACAATTTTAGTTCTGATTAATGATTACTATCAATTATTGTACAATGAAATACTATTAGACATAAATAGCTTAAGTAGTATATTCATTTGTATTGCTTATTATATACAGTGGTATTTTAAGTAGAATACATTGATGTATCGCTCACCAGTCTTTTATCATTGGAAAAATCATAATTGTACGCATCTGACTCAAGCAATTTTTTTATGGATAATAATTGTTTTTTTGTATTATCTAAATTATAACTATAGTTTTTAGTAGTCGCGATAATTTGGCTTGATAAAACAAATGGTATACTGTCCAGCATACTGGTAGGTTTTAAATCTGGAATACTTGGTTTTGTTGGCTGTAAATCATATAGTAACTGAGGCATTGTAGGTAAGGTATTCGCAGGTTCTGGATTAGCCGCAGTTGGAACAGGTGGTGTGTCTTTTGTATCAACTATCTGATCAGCCGATTGTTTAGAAACTCCAAATAACCAGGATGCCATGGTCTGAAAATTATAAAATGGTAGTATACATTTAATATGAAAAATACCCATCACATGTTTGATTCTTTTTAATCACTAATAAGATCTAAGTAGTGTACTACTATCAACATTCAATAATAATTTAATTTATTGTTGATATCAATTATCATAACTACCTAATTATATCAACCATTTAAATATTTAAAAAGGCTACCTACATGAATTGTAAATGTTGTTACATTTTAATACATTAATGCAATTTAAATAGTACAGAATCTAAGATAACACGTGAAATACAAAAAGTGATTTATCATAACTTGTAATGTGACGACGATGTCTAGTTATTGATATAATTTTAACTCTTAAAATCAATTTTCAAACATAATATGTATTGCTTAATACATCGAAAAAATACACAAGTTTGGTAAATGAAGCAACATCTAGGTAGTATTTACATTGTACATACACAAAAAGTGTTGGTAATTTAGGCACTTGCTTCAACAATAGTTGATACAATCAATTATGTTGTACATGTGACATCAACAAACTATCCATAGTAAATATCTCACAGACAACCATTATTTTAATAGGCTTATAAATTGATTTTGATGTTCAACTTACTTCTAAAGGTGTAGCGGTGTACTTCAATATATTGTTGTGTTGATGATGAAGGTATTCAGAAAAATGTTGAACTCTGTTCACTATAGTATGAAACATTGATTAAATAAAATACATCGAATGTTAGTATTATATTTTACTCACCTAAAATGTATCCACACAAACCACAAGCGTAGTATAACGCGTACGAGTATTAATGAAGGCACTCGTTGTGTATACTTGTCTATACACTAATTCAATGTACCGTATAGTGTATACACACCAGCAGCTGTATACAGTGTTCTATTGATCAGTAATCTGTGCTTATAGTTGGTGGCTGGTGCCCAAGCTGTACGCCCCACAAACAGTACTAACTACAAACTTCGAATAACAATAATAATAACATAGATAATAAAGATATGGATAGGCCACGCCTATGTTAAATACATTTGAGGCCGCGTTCCCGGAGGGGAAGGCAATTGAGGCTCCTTTATATTGATAGTCGATACTCAATATAGGTATACTTTATTTGGCCTCAATTGTTCCCCTCGAAGACCGCTGATAAGACCAATATGTCCTATCCATATCTTTATTATCTATGAATAATAATCACACGAATGAAGGATATTATCACACTTAACCCCTGATAATATATAACATAGATAGATAACAAATTATCATTTATATATTTATTTATATTTATTTATATATTTATTTATGATAAAAAAAAGATAGCCGAGTTAGTGATATAATGTGAAGTTATTATCCGTCGTATTGTGTAAGTCAAATGCATGACGAAATCCCACCAAAATTTGAATTCTTGTTTAAGATATTTGAAATGCACTTTTATTTTTCTTATCAATATTTATTATTGTGGCAATAAATAACCATGATTGTATTTTGTCTTTCATACATTTTTTTAATACAATTTTTGTTTACTAAACTTTACATTTATGGTTTAATAATTTTAAACAATAAAGGAATTATTTGTAGAAATCAGTCTGGTTATTTTTTAACATTTTTTATATAATACATCTATTATTTTGAGTACCACTTTTTTTTATACTTTATCAAAGATACACGTAAAGTTCAAGTCATATGGTACTGTAGTTTTTAGTATAGGTACGTAATATGCTAACTCAGTGCAGGTTTTCAAACTTGTATTATACATGGCACACCGTACACTACAAAATATTTTCACAGCGCATTGACCTTTTTTTTAGATTACTAATTCAATGCAATCGGTAATTTATGGAAAAACCGTGGCACACTTAGTGGATACTCGCGGCAGTGCGGCACACCAGTGTACCGAGGCACCCAGCTTGAAAACCACTGTGCTAACTGCTAACTCTTTAACACACCCGTGTATACATGTTATAAATAGTAATATTAGGTGATCAAAACAAAAAAAATGGAAGATGTATACCATTACCATGTATCTATTTACTTTCTACACATGAAGTTTATATTATATTAATTTGTGTCGTTTAATATTATATTAGATGCTTGTCTTATAAAGTATAAATAATTATATTTTTTTAAAGTGCCTATGATGTGTTGTAGGTTTTGAAAAAATATTCTAGTCATGGTAATCGTAAAGCTAATAACCCAGAAAAATTGCATTTTTTAGGATTGGTCAAAATTAATTAATATAACGACTAACACATATTCTTAAACATTTATTAGATGAATATAAATATAATTTCTCGATTAATAATAAAAATAACCTCACGAAAATAGATTTTTTTCTAATCAAAAGAAAAAGCAAATGTGAATTACCTAAATTTTTAAAAAGATAAAACATTGTTCCCACTGGTTAAAGTTAAGTACGTACAGTTGGTGTAGCAATGCCAATAGCAGTTCCTCCTAACGTCCTCGATACCAAAGTAAAAAAAAAATGTTGTTTTTGTAAGGAAAAACGATAGGGTATACTCTAATTTATGAATTTAAGACAAAAATGTAAAATATATTTGTGATAAATATTTAAATTTCATAATCTTACAACTAATCAGAAACAAATGCACAAAAATACGACCTTGAACTGTTTCCAACCTCATGACCAAACTGGGAACGGTGACAGATTTATCATTTAAGAAATCTAGCATTTCTCGAAACACTAAGTATTGTGCAGAACGATGGCACTGGTACGCAAACTGACAACTCAACAGAATAATACTTCATTACTTCAAATAATCGATCGTTCATGTGGTTTTGTTGGCACTCAGCAAACGGCGGCGATAAGCGGTCACGACGTTGCGTTAAACTCGGCCTCCAGGAACAGACAAAAACCAAAAGCTTGGAGCCGCCGGAACGGCCTACAGCGGGTACTTTCCGAGACCACCCAGCGCTGGACCGCAGTGGAGAGGGTTACGCCACCTCTCGAACAGCCTGCGCCCATTGCGCCTCCGGGAGGAAGTATACCGCTGTACCGTGGCGCGAAAACGCGTACGTGTTCGAACACTACTAGGCATAGCGTGAGAAAGGATAATGTCAGCGTTTCAAAGCAATAATCTGTACTCGCCCGCTAGTACAATATGCGTTATTGTACAGTCACCGCCTGAATCACCGTCAAAATAGACGATAAACGGCCACCATGGGTTAAAACAACTGGTTGCGTGTGGAGGTAACCTTCTCCAGTAGTGCAAACGAGCGGAACTACGATTTGAGCACCCCACAGTGACTAATTGACCATTAATTCCGCCGAGAAGAAACTAAGTCGTGACCGTGAAATCACCTCCATGGTCGTGGTGTACTCACCGCCGCGAATCAACTGGGTCATGGCCGTGAAATCGACACCGTCACCGATGTAAACAAACGGTACGTAATATCGTTATGTACATTAATACACAGATAACGCGTATAATACGCGTATAACATGTACATTACTGTAATCGCCGGTATTCTCATAGAAGACATAAAAAAAAAAAAAATAAAACCTAATATTAATTATTGGTACCCACGCCAGCTGTTTTGAGGCGTAGAACCTCGAATCAGAATATTAAGGCTGAAAAGAATAGTTGTCGTTAAGAGAGATAAGTAGAGAGAAGAATTCCAGAGAATTGTGATTTTCCTGTGTCTAGCACGGCAAATACTAGCTATTCCATTGTTAGTACAATTGATTCAAACTCGATTAAGCAGTAAAGCTCAACAAATGGTCAGATATCAGACTTTTGAGACTTGGGAAGAACTAAGAGATCTTCTTAAATCGAATTTAGAACCATAAAGAGCAACCCATCACTTATACCAGTCCTTGTATGCAATAAAAATTGGGAAATGAACATTTTAACTTACTCAAAGGAAGCAGAAGCTCTTTAGAATATCATTATCAAACAGGAGATTCTAGGATGCTCGGTTGAGGTAGCATAAGCATTTGAGATGTCAATATAAAGATAAACTCTACAAGTATTCGTCAAAGGTTTAGGATTAAGGTTTAGGTCTCTTAAGACCTAAGAAATTACATTAAAGTTTGAAACCCAGATTCTTTATTCAACGTCATTCAAGCGGCTAGAGAAAAAGAAATAGTTAGAAAATCATTCATACCTCATTATGGAAAGATCACTACCACTCACTTCATAATTCAAAAAAGGACCTTCACTTCAATCTTACATGTGATTCTAGCAATTATGCAATATCATGTGTGTTATACTGTTATCACAAGGTACAATTGGAAAAGATCCTCCAATTGTCTATGCTTTACGAACATTAAATCAAGCTGAACAAAATTATAGCACAACAGTTAAAGAATTGTGTGTTATCGTCTGGGGAGTTAAACAATCTCGACCCTATTTACTGGGTTAAGAATTCTTCATTGTTACAGATCATCGAGTATAACGGAGGCTTAAACTAGAGGAATACCATTATAATATTCAATGTAAGCCAGGACGTGACAATACAAAGCATTGGGTAGAATCAGAGTCCCAACTAGAGCACAAACTCTGAGAAATGAACAAAATTCAGAATCTTCAGAAATTCCAGAATTTACAGAAACTCCAGAATCTTCAGATATTTCGTAATCCACAGAATTTTTCAACTTCTGCCGATTCACCTAAATCCAATGTTATTGAGATTGTAGAAAGTAGATGATATTTTTAGTACGTTATCGGACGTTTCACTGGCCCACTGTGTTTCTACGGATCTCAAAACGTCTAGAGGTATCGCCCTCCAATTAAGACGAAGATCTTTGCAAATACAACAGCTACGTCAGCAAGAAAAATCAATGAATGGCGTGATAGAGATTTAGAGTTTTAGAGGTGCAATAATATTTGGTTTTTTCCATATTTTAAGTATCTAGTAAATGTTCACTATTTCGTTAAAGAAGTCAAAGAACTCATTCCTGGTACCCTGTCCGAAATTTTTTTACCTATTCAATCAAGATGTCGTCCTCGCCTGTAACTACCCTGTTCTTGAGGATTTTGATTGTTGGATCTTCTTCCAAGTGGTTACGTTATGTTAGCGTTGATGGACGTAACCCATAGTTTTGTTTATTCTTATTCAATTTCTACTTTTCCCTTTTTCATTCACTTGTTTAGACTTACCATTAAGGAGTAGCTGGTGAGCCAATTTGTCTTAATGAGGCCTCACTACTTTTTTGGTGTTATAATTCATGTCCATTTCGTTTAGAAGCGATTGCCAGTATTTCCGCTTTGTCTTGGAGTCATTCACCGTTTTCAGAAGTTTCTGTACAGAAAGGACTTCCATTGAGAGGTTCTGTGTACGTTTCGAAATCTTCTGATTTCTTCAGGGGTACGCCTGAAATGTAGTTTATTAATTTACTTTGCAACCACTAGTGATATGTTTTCTCGAAACGTTTTTTAGATATTTCAATAAAGAGCATATACTTGACACTGCTACGGTGGTGCTGGTTGGGGCACTAAGCCGGTCGTGGTGTGGAGTATGAAAATGTGGTAGAAGGTGCACCGACGAACACGCTCAAACGTTTTTTTGGGAAATGTAAAAAATCGTTTTATTTATTGAGTTTAAGTAAGATCAAAACAAATTATCGCTTGGCGAATGAATGGTCGACGATAGTTTGAACGTTATTAATAATGTTCTACTGTTGGATGGGATTGTGCCCTGAAATACGACGACAGTGGTCGATGGTGTTAGTACGACGGTACACGCAAGAGAGCGAAGCGATCGCCTGCGGCCATTACTTGTCCAGCTTGATTTGACTTTTCGTACAAACTTTGTGCCTTTGCAGCGGGGCGGATAAATCGACAGTATTGCTTTGTCGTAACCTGTGGTGGTAGTTGGTAAAATCGTTGACCGGTCGCTGCAGTGCCTGTCTTCGTAATGGCTGCCGTGTCAGATTACAGGTATTGATTTTAATTCAGAGTCTAGTTCCCTTTAGGAATCAGTCAAATTTACCTTTTTTGAAGTTTAATCTTCTCTTAAAAGAAACTCCCAGGGGTCCAATCCTAGCTAGAATTTCACACGGTGTGGACTGTGCTTTAAGTGATGGATGGGTTTGTTAACGTTTACGACGGCTTGTTGTTTTAAATTATTGCTCAAGAATAGAATATGTGGGTTGTTTCCTCTCCTCCACCTAGCACTATAACCAATGACATACATTTGACTAACAATGACTAACATTTAGTAT